GGCAAAGAGCCCTATGTCTCTCTCTTTGGGAGGCTGGTAGGAACCCTTCTGCAGGCTGCCTGTAGCCAACTGTGCTGGGGATCTGGCTGCCTCTATCCCTCTGAGGTTGTTCCCCTTTCATTTTTGCCTACCAGAATTCCATTGTTTGGAGGGTGGTTTGGATGGCCTCTCTGGGGACAATGGTCATATAGTGTGGCCAGCAAGTGTGTTGTTGTGTAGGCTGATTTGGCATGGAGCAGCAGCGGGTTGGTGGAGAGCATCAGAGGGAGGCCTTAGAGGGTGGATCGAGGCTGGCAGTGTTTGGCAAACTGCGAGGCCATTGTAAGGATAAAAATGTGGACATGGCTGGGGTGGGGGCAGCTCCCCTAGATGTGGTGTAGCATGGCATGGATATCACTGGGCAGGAGTGTTGCAGTGGAGGTGCTTCAGGGTGGAGGTCTACCAAGTGGGGGAGGGCCCATGGAGCTGGGCTTGGCCTGCAAAAGAGTTGAGCTTTCAGGTGCAGCTCAATGGAGGGGTTGGGGAGAGTGTCTGGGTTGGGTTGGTAGTGGGGTTATTGGGCCCAGATGGACCCTTGGGGGAGGTACAGGGCCTAGCGAGACCTTTGGGGAAGCCAAAGAACCAAGGGTGGTCTGGTGGAAGAGCCACAGGGCCGGGTCTGCTATCAACCCTATAAAATAGAGTAGAACTTCTCTGCAGGGTTTCTGAAACTATAATCATATAGGAGCAGAGTGGCTGATGTGTCTGAACCACCAACCATTCAGCTAGTAGAGGAATAATTAATTCAATGTGCTGCCAAGACTTTTTTACACTATTACATTTATACCTTCATACACGACAAATTAAATCATCACTGAACTGCCAAATATAATCCTTGGTCACTCTGCAAGCCTGAAACTGAATTAGGCCCTATAGTTCAATTTATAATCAAACTTTAGGGAGATCTATAAGCGGAACACTAACACAAATAGGTCACACACACCTTAGAATAATCAACTGTCCCAGAACAAATAAACAGCATTTACCCAAGAAAAGTGTTTTGAAGTGTTAGGAAGAACAAGGAATGGAAATCAGGAAAACAAAGAGCAAGTGAGGTAAGTGATGTTATAGATAGCATCCAAATTTCCTAGATACTGAAAACCTCCTGAATATTCAGAACATTGTGAACACAGGGGTTGTGGCAATGGACTCAAACATAACAACTGTGAGGTTAACACAGACTAGGATCCGTTTCCTTTTGTTGTACATATGGTCATTATGAGTCCAAGCACACTCGCAACAAGAATTTCTGAATGTAAAGCTGACAATTTACTATGTCAAACTTGACCCAATTTATGAACGAATTTTAAAGAGAGAGAAAGGACAATAATTACCTCATACCTTTCCCCCTCATGTATTTCTTTCTATTAATTTATTTAGGATACGAACATTTTATAATGATCA